TCAGTTCTATAGATTAAACAGCATACGAAAATTTGCCTAATTATAATTCCAATATATTTATTTGTTCAAATGTTAAACTCATTAATAGCGGGCAGATACTTGTGTCATTTGCCAACATTTATTGGGTATATGCTATGGGCTAGGCACAGTTTCAATCACTTCCTATATCTTAACCCGTTTAATCCTAACAATCTATGAGGAAGAAACTACTCTTATCCATATTTTACAGAAAAATCTAAGGCCCGGAATGTCAGAAACTTGCCTGAGGACAGACAGCTTGTAGGTGGCAGAGCTGAGATTCGAACTTGGAATCTTCATGGCCCACACTCTTACCTGGAATTGTCTCAGACATCTGCAGTCGCGTTGGCCTCCATCCTCTCCCGCCTGTGCCCTAGGCTGGGCCCCTGGGCTTGGTCCAGTCACTCCCATCTCTCCCCGCTGTTCTGTCCTCCTTCCTCTGCTCGTTCTAGAGGCGTCCGTGGGCCCCAGTTGATGCCTTTTCCCCACCCTCTTGACCCCGCCCTCCCCGCGTCTTGGCCACTAGAGGGCGCGAGGAGCAGAAACTCGAGGGTAACAGGTGTCTGGGAGCGGCTGGGAAGGGGCTGGTTCCGGAGCAGAGGCTCAGAGGAGGGAGACAGAAGGAGGGGCGCTGGGGGTCTGGGGACACGGGGAAGGGCAGGAGAGCAGCAGCCGGTGAGATGTATTGTCTCCCCCGGCGTCACCCCACCACACACTCGGCACCAGATCTTCCCTACTCATTCCATTCCCCTAAAACTGCAACACCAAGACATTTGGGTGTCCTACTCAAACTGGAGATCTGAGCGTTGTACAGATTCCCCTGAAGGCATAGTCAGTCTTTCCGTTTTGGTAATGCAGTGAGATTTAGAGGACAGGGGGACATCAGGAGGAAATTTTAATAGATCTTCACTCTGACGAGACCTCATGCTAATGACACATTTTTTGTTTTTAAGAGTTGAATACTAGTTAGGATGTCTAGTCAAATAAATTATACTGCTTTTAAATTAGGACTCAGCTGTGAGCGTGGGGATTTGTTTTGTTGCTATCCCAGGGTCTAGCACGGTATCTATAACTCTAATATCGATATATAAATCGCTCAGTTGAAATAGGAATTTTATTAATGGATCATTTCACTCTGAAGGCAAAGCTTTGCCTATTTAGTCATGTAGATAGAATGTGGACTATTCTCTAATGAGGAGGATAATTTAATGACCAGCTCATCTAAGCCCAGAGCTCTGGTCAACTTACCCAAAAGCTTCCAGTACCCGCTGGTTCTAAGAGGCAGCTGTGGTGCTGTGGAGAGTGCCCTGGGCTGGGAGCCAGAGACCTCAGTTTTCATTCTGGCTCTCCCTGCCCTGTGTGCATTACTGGGCTGGTCACTTCCTCATCTGTAAAAGAGCCATTACTGGTTTAATAAAGTCAGGACCATGGTGAGGATTACAAGATAAACACTATTTTTTTTTTTCCCTGTCAACCCAGGCAAAGCTCAGACTTTAGATTAATCTAACCCTCCCTCTTTGCTCCTTTACGTGGGCTGTGGGACACATGGGAGGAGCGAGCCATCCAAGCATGCACACTGATGCAGCTGCAGGCTTCTGGAATCTCATAGCACCTGGACCCACCGTCCTCTCCATTTGCAAAGCCGTGTACATGTTCTAACTTAGCCCGCTCTTTACTTTCCTACAATGGTTATTCCAACCTTTGGCTATATTTAAAGTTCTCCGTATCTCTTCCCAAACCGAAGCTATATGTATGTATATATACATATAAAGAATCTACACATGTTATCAATTCTTAAGGGGGGAAAAAAAAGCATAGAAAAAAGACTGGAGTGAAATATGCCAGAATGTAAGTTGTGGGTTTTTGGTCCTTCATATTTCTCTGTGTTTTTCAAGTGTTCTAGTCCATCATGTATTGCATGATGTTTCCAAAATAACAACAACAACAAAACAGAAAAACTACCATTCGAGGAGCTACCACGTACCCATTGATTTATCCTCCCACCCCCTGCTCCCAAATCTGATTCCAGGCCCAGATGCAGGGTTCTTGCTCTCCCTCTCCGGGGCTAATCTGATCATCTGTGCTATTAATTCTATATTCTTCTGACTTCTCAAGGATCTTGCCTTGACATTAGATAACCCTTTTTCTCCCCATTCAATCTCCCATTCCTTTTTGGTCTCTTTGCGAGCATATAAGTATGCTTAAAGGAATTCCCTGGAGGTCCAGTGGTTAGGACTCGGTACTTTCACTGCCAGGGGCCAGGTTCAGTCCCTGGTCGGGGAACTAAGATCCCACAAGCCACATGGTGCGGCCAAAATAAAAATACGCTTAAGTCCCCTCCATGTATCAGCAAACAAGCAAAACTCCCCAGGCTCCAGCTCCGCCTTGGCTCCCCTCTAACTCTAGACCCGTACCCCCTTTTCCTTTTATATATAGTCTGAGTTCTAGAAAGAGTCTGAATTCCAGCCTCTAAATCTCCACGACTGACCGTTTAACCCATTGCAGCCTGGCTTCCACCTTCACAACACCCTTAAAATTGCTCTTGCCAAGATCTCCTTTCAGGCTTCGTCTTCCTCTGCTCTTCTGACTTTGCTCAGTCTTGTTGGAACATCCCTTCTATGCCATAAATTCTGCCACCTGTTATGAATGTCCCAGATCAGCTCTTCCTGGGCTCGTGGGGCAGGGATCACTGCGTGAGGCATATCTCCCGGGCCCTTCACACGTGGTGTGTCTACCGTGGGGTTTGAGAGCTGCTCTCCCCCGGCCCTTTCCTCCTCATTTTCTGGACCCCTGCCACCTTTCGGGTGTCCCCGTCCCCTCCTCAGCTTGTTGGCTGTGCTGTCGGTGTGGAGCCTGACTGTGACTCACCTGGACCTTTGCAGTGCTCTCCTAGCCATGTCTCTGATTCTAGTGTTGACTGCATCTCACCGCCAGCAATAATCTTTGTCACACACGCCTCCCATCCTCTCTGACCCTGGCTTCAAATTCCTTGGTGGCCTCCCATTGCCCAGAGGTACAACCCGAGCTCCTCTCCGTGATCCTTCATGGTCTCGCTCGCTTTACATCTCTTGCCCATGACCCGCCACGCCCCAGTAGCTTGCATTCCACACTCTCATAGCTGGACTCCTCTGAATCTTCAATTCCGTTATCTTTTGCCCCTTTGCATATATTTCCTTTGTGCAGGATATTTTCTCTGTGCTGGCACATTGGACAGATTCTGTCTCATCTGTCGAATGTCAGCTCAAATACTGCCACTTCTGTGATGTCCTCCCTGATTTCTCCCAGGGAAGACTCAGGTACTTCTTTTCCTGTATTCTCCCTGCCCTTTGTATAATTTTCTTATCATACTTTAATTTGTTTTGTTTATTTCTCTTTTAGATTGTAAGGTTCGTGGGGCAGGCGATATGACTAATTTTTTAGCTTTTTTTTTTACTGTGAAATATAATGCACACAGAAGTGCATTAATCAAAACTTAGATCACTTATATGTAGAACCTAAAATATAATACAGGGAATTCCCTGGTGGTCCAGTGGTTAGGACTCTGCACTCTCATTGCAGGGAGCATGGGTTCGATTGCTGGTCAGGGAACTAAGATCCCACATGCCACGTGGCATGGCCAATATATATATATGTGTGTGTGTGTGTATATATATAATACAAATGAACTTAATGTACAAAACGGAAACAGACTTACAGACATAGAAAAGGAACATATGGTTACCAAAGGGGAAAGGGCGGGGAAGGGATAAATTAGGAATTTGGGATTAACATATAAACACTGCTATATATAAAGTAGATAAACAACAAGGTCTTATTGTATAGCACAGGGAACTATATTAAAAATCCTGTAATAAACAAAAACGGAAGAGAATATGAAAAAGAATATATATACATATGTATATAACTGAATCACTTTGCTGTACACCTGAAACTAACACAGCATTGTAAATCAACTAGACTTCAAAAAAAAAACACTTAGGGATAATGAATAATCATAAAGTGAACATTTGTGTAACTACTGCCCAGGTCATGAAAAGGAGTATTTTCAGTCCTCCAGGAGCCCCCTGTATCCTTTCCAGATCCCACCCATCCCCCTACTATCTTTTCTTCATAGTTGCACTACCTATATATTCATTTCTAAACAAATCATTTAGTTTTACCTGTTTTTGACCTTTATACAGTCAGATCATGTTTTCTGTTGTGTTTTACTTCCTTTATTCAACATTGTGTTTGTATGTGATTATGTGTCCTAATTTTTATTATTGTATCGCAGCATTTCATTACATGAATTTACTGCATGTAATGTATCTATTAATGGATGTATGGTTTATTTCCAGTTTGGGGCTATTATGGTGCTTCAGATATCTTATACACTTCTTTTGGTCCCCATGTGCATGAATTTCCTCAGGGTATAGATCCAGGAATGGAACTGCCTGTCACAGGGTGTATATATCTTCAACTCTACCAGATAATGCTAAACTGTCTTTCAAAGTGTCTGTCGCAATTTACATCCCACCAGCCTTGTAGAGGGTGCCCATTGCTCTGTATCTTTGCCAATATGTGGTATTGTCAGACTTTTCCACTTTTACTGACATGGTTGGCATGGAGTAGTATTTCATTGTGGCTTTAATTTGTGTTTCTCTCTTAGTAAGGAGGCTGAACACCTTTCTGAGTTAATGGGTCAGCTGAATTTCCTCCTAAGTGAAGGCCCATTTAAGTTTTGCTCACTCTCTAATGGGTTGCTTGTCTTTATTTTATGGCTTTGAAAGTTCTTGCACATTCTGGATATGAGTCCTTTGTTGGCTGTATGTGTTGAAAATAAGCTATACTATAAAATCACAAACATTAAAGATTTATTGATTATAGTGTTTTTAAAATTCTTTGCCTTAGCACTAATAAGTAAGTAGAAACAGGATAATTAGACAATAAATAATAGTATACATTCATTGAAATTAATCCTGTCCTTCCCTTCTTCTCTCCAGGCGTCATCATCGTCCCCAGTGCCGGTGTTGGGATTGTCCTTGGAGGCTACATCATAAAAAAATTGAAACTTGGTGCAAGGGAATCTGCAAAACTAGCGATGATCTGCAGTGGTGTGTCTTTACTGTGCTTTTCAACCCTGTTTATTGTTGGATGTGAAAGTATCAATCTAGGTGGCATAAACATCCCGTATACAACAGGGTAAGTATCTTGGAAGAGGCGTCTCATCTCATCCTGGTCATGATTGAAGTGTGAAGCTCTGCAGTGTTTGGATCCCAGGGTTTGGCTTGCGCCCCACCCTCAATGAGGGGCTCACTACGCCTGTGTTTCTGTCCCGGTAGAGCTGCACCCTCTTGGGCAGTGGCCTCCGTCTCTCCGTTGTCTGTGTCCCTTTTGACCCTCGCAACGTCTCCCATGGCATTTGGGTTACAGTACATGAGGAGGAAATGCTAGTTGGCTTAATGAAAACTGTTCTTTTTTTTTTTTGTGGTACGCGGGCCTCTCACTGCTGTGGCCTCTCCCGTTGCGGAGCACAGGCTCCGGACGCGCAGGCTCAGCGGCCATGGCTCACGGGCCCAGCCACTCCGCGGCACGCGGGATCCTCCCGGACCGGGGCACGAACCCGTGTCCCCTGCATCGGCAGGCGGACTCTCAACCACTGCGCCACCAGGGAAGCCCTGTTCTTTTTTTTTTTTAATGTAATGTTTTGAATAGGTAGTACATTCACACAGTTTCAAAACAAAGTTCAATGAAAATACAGTGTGCCCCAAGGCCTCCACCCCACTTCTCCCCAAAGACAAACCAGGGAACCACTTTAATTCATCTCTTGTGTACCCTTCCAAGGATGTTCCTTACACAAGAAACTATGAATGTGTATTTTCAGTGTTTTCTGTTTTATATCCAAAAGGTAGCATTCTATACATTCTTTTCTTTCTTTCTTTCTTTCTCTTTCTTTCTTTTTTTTCTTTCTTTCTTTCTTTCTTTCTTTCTTTCTTTCTTTCTTTATGGCTGTGTTGGGTCTTCGTTGCTGCGCGCAGGCTTTCTCTAGTTGTGGCAAGCGGGGGTTACTCTTCGTTGCGGTGCGCGGGCTTCTCATTGCGGTGGCTTCTCTTGCTGTGGAACATGGGCTCTAGGCATGCGGGCTTCAGTAGTTGTGGCTCGCGGGCTCAGTAGTTGTGGCTCGCGGTCTCAGTAGTTGTGGCTCGCGGGCTTAGCTGCTCCGCGGCATGTGGGATCTTCCCGGACCAGGGCTCAGACCAGTGTCCCTGCAATGGCAGGAGGACTCTTAAACACTGCGCCACCAGGGAAGTCCCTATACATTCTTTTCTGAGCTTTTTTTTTTTTTTTTTTATGTAACGATCTGGGTTGGAAACTTTCTGTCACAATAATAATAATGATGGTGATGTTCAAAGTGTAGCTAACCCTTATATTAACACTACTGCATGCCAAGCATTCTTCTAAATGCTTTACGTATATTAACTCATTAATCCTCATAACAGGCCTAATCAGGTAGGTACTATTATTATTCTGATTTTACAGAGGGCAAAACTGAGGTATGGCTGACACGTATCGGTATATACATCCGTTCAGGCTGCTGTAAGCGAACACCATAGACTAGATGGCTTAGAAACAACAGAAGTTTATTTCTCACAATTCCGGAGGCTGGGAAGTCCAAGATCAAGGTGCTAGCATATTCGGTGTCTTGTGAGGACCTGCTCTTTGGATCATAAATGGCTGTCTCTGGCTGTGTCCTCACATGGTGGGGGTGAGGCATCTCCCTGGGATCCTTTTTGTAAGGGCACTAATCCCATTCATAAGGGCTTCACCTTCATGACCCAGTCACCTCCCAAAGGCCCCAAACTCCAAATACCATCACGTTTGGGGTTAGCTTTCAACATGTGAATTTTTCATGGACCCAAACATTTAGTCTATTGACCTAGAGATCACAGGCAAGGATTACACAAGAAACATGTGTAAAGCTCTCAGCCCTCCTGGCACACAGTAAGTGCTCAGTGATAGTTAGCTATTGTTATTAGTCATCACTAATCCATTAAGAACTATTTCTATCAAATTATTTTTACTACAATTGGAAAACATAAATAGAATATTAAAAATTAGTAAGAAAAACCAGCAGTCTCCTGACCCTGCTTCCCAGGGGCAATAATTTAAAATTTTTTTTAGCTATCTCTTCTGGCATTTACCTCTATATTTTTAAAGCATACTGTATAAATTAACCAAATGAAGACATTATTTATGACTTCCTGTCTTAGTAAATGAGGAGTCTAGCATTTTCTTCACAAGTTGTGCTCAAATCCTTTTCTGATATTTTCATGGTATGATTATGACAGTATTGTTAGCAGCTGAGGCACAAGTACTGTATCGTGATTAGATTTCCTCCTTTGTACAGCAGTGATTTTCCTGGAATTAAATCACTACCTTGTTTTCATTTCCTTTGTTTTCTTTGAGTCTGCTTCTGCCTTCCCATATCCTCTAAGGGCTCAAGAAATCTCAATATGACTTTTCACCCATCCGATGAACTCAGGATTCCATTTCCCCACCCCTTGGAGTCATCTGTATGGGAGCCCTCTGGGCCTGCTGCCCCGCTGTTGACCCAGGAATCTCACTTGCCTCTCTCTGTACTGATCCTTCATTTTCTAGGTTCTGTGGATGCCTCTTTTTTGGCTTCCTCCCCCATTTTGCTAGAGCACATCCTCCAGTAGCTACAGAAAGGCTGTCAATGCTGTTAACCTTTTTTTTTTTTTGGAGATTTTTCATGAAATAGCCTCTTTTTTTTTTTTTTTAACAATTACATTTGATTGCCAAGTTGGCTGGGTTAAGAACTTTGGACTGGATGGATCATTTTCACTAAAAAATTTAAAGTTTTCACTCCATTTTTGTCTAATTTCTAATGCTCTTGTGGGAATTCTGGCCTTTCTTTTTCCCAATCCTTTGTATGTGCCCTACTTTTCCTTCCTGGGAGTTTCCATTTATTCCCAGTATTCCCAAATTTCACCACAATACACTTTTTTTTTTCCTCTGAGCACTTGATGAACTTTTAATGTCTGGAGACCATGTCTTTTGTTTCCATTTTAACTTTTTTTAAAAATGTAATTGTTGTTATTTTCTCTCCACAGTTTTTTTTCTCCTATCTGTCCTTCATTGATTCTCTACTTTTCTTATTCTTTATAAACTATGTTATATCTCATTATGGCTTGTCAGTTAGTGGATCTCACTGTAGGGTAGTTGCAGGGGGACAGCTGACATTTTCATTGGGGTGCTCAGTGTCAGAACCTGAGGTCTTACCTTTGAGGTGCTTCAGTTCCTCCAGAGAAGGATGCTCCTATCTCCTGGCTTGGGCTGTGTTGCAGTGGGTTCAGGGTTGTAAGCCTAGCTGCTGACATTCTAGAGCTGGGAGGAGGGTGGTGGGTGGAAGAGGCTAGGGTGCTACTGTTCATTTTGCAAACTTTTACCAAATTCCTCTGTCATCATCCCAGCATCTTGCCAAAGGTCTCTTTCATGTGGTGCTCTTAAGTCCAGAGCCTTTGGTTCATTTTCTCCAGAAGATAGAGGGGGTGGAAGAGGAAGTGGTCATCTACTAAGTAGGGTGGGGAAGGGAACCTGCTGAAAATTGTATCATACTTGGACCATGACTTTCTTGTGGTGTTTGTCCTTGAGTTCCAAAGGCCTGTTCTTTCTCCTACTACTGGTGTTTATCTTGTCCATATATATACTTAAGTTCTCTTTATACTTTCTGTTTTATTGAATCCTTTTTTTCTGAAACTCTCCATAATTTTGCTTCAGTTGGATTGGTTGCTCTTTTGCATAACTTATATCCTGGAACTTCCTTTCATAGATCTCAATTGTATCCACTAGGTTTTGTCTGTGTAGTTATTTATTTGTTAACTCCTCATTTTGCCAGAAAAAATCCTTGGACAACTTCCTAGGGAAGGGTTCAGGGAAAGAGAAGCTGTCTGAAACCGTAAGTGTATTAAAATGTCTTTATTCTTCTTTCACATTTAAATGATAGTTGGAGTGGGTATAGAATTATAGGTTAAACATTTGTTTTTCTGAGAACTTGGAAACCATTGCTTTGTCATCTAGCGTTTAATGTTGCAGATACTTAAATGAAATTTAATTTCAGTCTGAGTTCTCATTTCTCCATTACCAACTTTATTTGGAAGTTTTGAGGATATTTTTTATTCAAAGTGTTCTGAAATTCCATAAGGAATGCTCTACCCTCCGATTTTGTCTTGGCTGGACTCCTCCAATGTCACTTTCTCGGAGAGACTTTCCCTTTCTGCCCAATATAAGGGAGCCCACTCTCCCCTCATTCTTTATTACATCACCTCTTCAGTTTCCTTGTAGCACGTGCCACTATCTGAAATTGTCTTGCTTACTTGCTTTGCTCTTGTCTTTTGTCTCTAAAATATGAGCTCCTTGAGAACAGTTACTATAGCTGCCTACATAATAGTTACAGCCCTGCCATCTACAACAAAGTTTGTTGTATGAATGAATGGACAGACGCATGAATGTCTTGGCCCAGGGCTTTGTTCATTCATTGTATTAGGCACTTTTAATGTAACACATATGTCCTTTTTTTTCTTTTAACCTCAGGGAGATTTTCTTCTACTATATCTTTACTCGTTCTCCTCTTCATTTTCCCTATGTTCTCCAGGACGCCTGTTTTTCAGATGTTGGAACTTACAGACTCGATACCTGTATGTTTAACTTGTTTTCTCATATTTCATATTTTCTTTGCTATGAGAGATTTTTCCAAACCTGCTTTTTTATTCTTTATGTAAATTTTAAATTTTGAAAATAATTTTTTCTTTGGCATTCTGAGTGTTCCCTTTTCATAACGTCCTGCTGTTGTTTGAACAGGAGTAATATCTTCTCAGATCTCTCTGCGCATATAATTCAGTTTTTTTTTTTTTTTTACTTTGTTTCTGTGTCTTACATTTTGTCATTTTATTTGAAATGTCAATTTTTCTGTTCATTTACTCTGGGTTTTACAGGTTGACAAGACTCAGTTTAACATCTGTCAGGTTATGTGTCCCTCTCCTCCACTCACCCCCCACCACACACAAGAACGAGGGAGTTTTATCCTTATTTGTCAACATCTAAGGTAGAAGCTTAGCTTTTACATTTTGTTCTGAATTCTTTAGAAGAGGTTTCTGATGAATTTCGGGGCTCTGCATTGG